TATCTTTTCTAAAGCTTCTTCAACTTCAGTTATGTCGACATTTTTTCTCCACGCTTTTTTTCCTTTACGGCTTGGTTGGTCTTTTTGGTTTTCGGTTTTAAGACTGCAGTCAGCATTTTTATCAAAAATACCAAGCACCGATAATCTAATTTAATTATCATGTGATAGTTGTTAGTAACTTACCAAATTTACTATTAATTTCTGCCAAAATTAATCTTAAAACCCGCCTGCTTTGGCATTTTAGATGTATACGTTGATATCTTTAGTAGGCGCTGGTCTTTATTTTTTCTCCCTCCTATGTAATGGTGGCGTTGGTGTTTTAGTGTAGTTAAGACTCGCTTGATAAAGGTTCGGAATCATTTGCTTATTATTCATTCTTCACCATATATATGATGATATGATATTGTGTTTTATACAACCCGAACGAAAAGCTTGTGTAAGGGGAAAACATACGGACAGTGAGGTTTCCTCACCGTCACCACAACCCTTGGGAAGGTCTGAGAAAAACTATAAAAATCTCTAGCTGAGATTCCTGTGAGAATGGGAGCGAATAACCAGAAACGATACCCTCCTGGATTATAATATGAAGTCTTCGACGGATTGGCATGGTCCATGGAGTGTTTGAACGTGGTTCGCTAGTGGTAGCTCTATGGAGTACGATACACAAGACATCATATTTGATGTAACTCAATTCAGACTACTCTTTCGTTCGGGTTACCTTATATCTGATTTTATAATCTGATTTTATAATCTTAGTCTTAGTTATTCTTTACTGTTGGTTGTAATATTAATCATTTTGCTTTCTCTTTTTAGAGAATGATTCGAAATGGTATTTCCTTATTGAAATCACATACTGAATCTTTAGATATGTTTTGTTTAATGAAGAAGTGTATTACTATGTACAGTACATGACATAATAACATATTCTCTTTCTTTTATATTATCTGTGCATTTAGAGATAACATTAATTTTATGTTTGTCCACATTCTTACGATTGATCCATGATGTAGCTACACTATATTTTATAAAAATTTTTTAGTTAATAAACTTTATGAGTAACGGAAAGAGAAAACCATAAATTAGTTAACTAACATTCATATTATGAGCTCGGCTCTGCGAAATTGATCCCAGTGATTACATGTGATCAAATACATGTACTCTAATCCTTTGATAACACTTATTTCTTGGTCATCCAACGGACTGATGATTATAAAATACCCTGATTCGTATGTGTACACGCAGAAGCTTTGTTTCTACTATTTATTACCAACGGCTCAGGATATTTTTATTACAAACTGATTTAATTTTTTAAATTCCCGGGTAAGTTAAACGCTCATTTAATGGTAGAATCTCAAAAATGTGATGAATTTCAGCCACCAAAGTTTGTTTCAACGATTGGTAATATTTGTATTATACGTTACATTGGGGACTTTGATTAACATCATATGAAATTTGGTTATGCAAACTATAATTGACAAGTAATTTTCTGTAATAAACAGTTTAATTAATCATTGCTGTAAATAATAAAAAAAAAAGACTCGTTAAATAATGGTTCATGGTGATATAAAAAAATAAACTTTCGTACTTGGAGATGTTGCTTAAATATAATTCATTGTATATATATTCAAATTTATCTATATAAATTTAATTATATAAAAAACCATAAATAGTGCACAAATTTTTAAAACCAAAATTCACATAATTTTTATACACTGGGTGCTTGTGAAGTTTTCCGTGGTCAATCGTATGATCGATCGTGTACACACTGTTTCGACTTTACTTACTAATCAAAACTGTTTACACATAAAATCAGAATTTGGTTTAATTAACTTGGATATGTTTCATCTGGAGTAGCTACGTACGTACGTACGTACCTACCTGATGAACAACGCCAGGGCGTAGGAAGGTATTCAGTAACTGGTAAAGTAGTACTGTACACTATATAGTACAAATTCGGACGGATATACTAAATTTTTGAAAGTACGTACGGCTAATATAGACTTGTAAAATGCAATTTTTATAACCATTTTAATGGTTAGGGTTAGGGTGACGCTAGTATTGTCCTTTTTTCATGTTGGGTAATTAGTAAAGGCCTTGACGAAATTTTTCTTTTACGTACTATCTTGATTTCTACACGTCCGTGTTTCCGTACCGTACTACTTTACCAGGCACCCGATTTGTCACATCTAAAATTTTATCATGATTTTCATAAGTTGCACAAATCGACGAAGTTACAGTTTTAAAATTTTTGCCTAATACTTTAGTTGAAGTACATA